TGAGATTTGAACCGCTGACCTGCTGATCTAGCAGTAGCCTGCAGTGCTGCATTTAACCACTGCGCCACCTTAGGCTCTAAGATACATTAATTAATTTAGCTTATTCAGTATGAAATGGAGCTTAGTTATGTAGCATGAGTCTGTATATTCTGCAATATTTACCTTTTTGGTAAACTCATTCAATGAATCCAAGCTCTGCAAGCTAAGATAACATGCACTGCACTGATGCATTCACACAATTTCACAGTAACCATGAGATAAATAGTAAAACACAGTTCAGGAATATTCTTTCATCCCCTCATTTTGCAAATCTATGTAGACTGCAAACTGTACGATTGTTTGAAGAGAAATGCATCTGTACCACCAGGCTCTACGTGTGAGGAGGAAGGGCAAGCAGTAAAAATGATAGTGAAACCACCTAAGCAGCTTATAAATATAATATTAAAGAACTTCAGTCATTTCAGATCTATCATGGCAGCACCTGTTAGTGGGCATCCCTCACCTGCTGCCTGCCACGTCCCTCATCTTGTTGTGTCCCTGCCACATCACGGGCCGTCCCATTAAAGTGAATGGGATGGTCGGTGAGTCAACAGCGGGTCAGGGGAGGAGCCACTGCGGGACAGAGATGACAGTTGCTCTTGAAAAAATATTATTTGAATTATGATTTTCTTCTCTCATTCCATACAGAAGTCCAGGGAGAAAGGTTTCCTGAACTCAGACAGGAACACAATTCCACCTGAATGGGTTGGGGGGGGACACAAGGGACAGCTCAAAAACCAAAGCTTCTCTGAAGCCATCTTGGAAGGATTTGGGCCGTGGTGGGATTCCAAACCTTTTCCTACTGGTTCTATGAGAAAGCGCTTTGCGTGCAGCACTCAAGGACCGCTCTTGGTGTCAGCGATGGTGAGCTGAGCTGTTTTTTTTTAGCTCAGCTGAGGCGCAGCAATCTGCTCTGCCGCGTGAATCAGCTGAGCTAAAAAAAACCAGAGAAATATAGGGCAGGAAACGACGGGGGTGAGAGTGCGGGGCGAAATGGCCTTCCCACTCGGTTCTCCGAACTACTCAAAATTTATTTGCCGGTTCTCCGAAACTACTCTAAATTTCTGCTACCAGTTTGCCTGAACCAATCAGGCTGAATCCATCTTGGATTTGGAGGGATTCAACATGTGCAACATAACTTACCGTTTCCCAGGAGTGTAAGGCTGTGGGCGTTGAAGCCGTCCTTGGCATTCTCCAAGCTCAGAGAGGCAGAGGCCAGCAAGCTGTATTTCACACCACTGGTTCAGAGAGAAGAAACACACACACAGATGGATCCAATAGCGCTCTCTCTCTACATTTGGCGTTTTGCTATCCATGTTTCCCCCATAAAAGACACTGTCATAATTTTTTTGCCACCAAAAAAAGGCACCAGGGGGGGTGTCATCCACTGACTCACCCCACTTTCGTGCATCGCCCCTGGCCTCCTTTTTGCTGTCAAACGCCTTCAGGCAAGGCTTTCCTGAAAGTCTCTGCAGCCAATAACAGAGCTTTGGATCAATCCAAAGGCTTTGTAGGCTGCAGAAGAAATGGGCTGGCAAGCCAGGTGTTGGGGTGTGTGCGGCCTGGCTGCAACTGTCCAAAAGTAAGTTGTAGGGCAGCTCCACCCCCCTAGCCCCACCCTAGCTTAACTTTTACCCATGCACCCTGGGGCGGGCGGGATCCTAATTAGGGCTTATTCTTGGGGTAGGGCTTATATTGGGTGCACATGTGAAAATCAAGCTAGGACTTACTTTTGGGGTAGGTCGTATATTTGGGGAAACAGGGTATTTGTACCTCGCCAAAAAACCAGGGGAGAATTGGTGGGGAAGAACAGGCGGGAGGCGATAGTGATGGCAATGGCAGTGCTTGGAGCGTCCAGAACACATGAGGGGCTCACAAGGCTTGTGCGAATGACGCACCTGGCCTCGGCCACCTTCCCGCTCCCAAATCCCTCTTTTGCTTTGTGGCTGAGTTAAAGCCGAATCAAGGGCCAGTTTCCCTCAACCAACGGTTTCCTTCCTTCCTGATATGTTAGCGCTGCTCAGGCATTCTCACTGAAAGCCAAACAATCACTTACCACATTTTATAAGACTATAAGACAAACTGGAGTATAAGACACACCACGATTTTGAAGAGGTAATTTTTTAAAAAAGTTTTGCACTCTGCATGCCTCCCAAACCCTCTGCACGCCTTGTTTTTTGCCAAAGGGGGGGGGGGGCATGCAGAGGCTTTGGGAGGCTTGTAGAGTGCTCCTGGAGGCTGGGGGAGGGGGCAAAACCGAGCAAAAATGGCCCATTTGAAGGGGGACGGGTTTTGGGAGGCCAAAAATGCTGTATTCAATGTATAAGATGCATCCAGATTTTCACCCTCTTTGGGGGGGGGAGGAAAGGTGAGTCTTATACTCTGAGAAATACGGTATATCAAAATAATCCTGTAGCTGAGTTTTTATCTGGAATTTGCATGGCACAAGCAAAGACTGTATCAAGGGTCTCCTGGCTATTTGTCTGTCTGTCTGTCTATCTGTCTGTCTGTGTGTGTGTGTGTGTGTGTGTGTGTGTGTGTGTGTGTGTGTGTGTGTGTGTGTGTGTGTGTGTGTGTGTGTGTGTGTGTTGGCTTATCTGTCCGTGAGTTTAGGAGCTCTTCGCGGCTTCAAAGGCGATAAAGGGTTTCTCTTTTGGGGACACCGAGGGATTTCTTAAAATTCTGCTTTTCTGTCCACAGGCCCCGGAACCATGTAATATATAAGGATGAAGAATGGCTTTTTCAGCCCATAAATTCAAAGTGTCCTACATCAACCTATTTTTTATATATATTTTTTTACTTGTACGTTGTGGTCCCTCACCACACTGGATGAGTTCCCTGCCCACGTTGTGGAGAAGAGTGACAATGCCAATGGAATGGACCAAGCCGTAAATAAAGACTCTCCTGGGAGAAGTTAGTCCAAAAAAATGAATGAAGCAGATACGATAATGAAGCAGTTTGCTTTTTGCATTAACCGCTCCGGACACACTCACCACTTCTGCCCGCCCCCCCCCATTCCACCCTGGACTTCCTGCCCGCTATGTCTCCTGCTTGTGGGGGGGTGGCTCCCACCCAGGGACGTGTTGTCGGCACAAGAGGCAAGGGGTCGCCAACTTTTTGGACCTCAGGGACCATTACATTCATAATTTTAAATCCCTTGGACCACCAATATGATTTTTTAAAAGAAAGATAAATAGTATTTAGTGCAATATAAGAAAATGCAAATAATTTTTCAGCGGATCACCAAAATTTTCTTGGGGACCACTGGTTGGTGACCGCTGAACTGCTTCCCCCACTTCAGGAGAGACAGAAATTAGATTTTTGGAGTTGAACGGCTCCATAGACAGAAACCACCCTGAGACCCCACCCACCCAGTGGTGAAATCTAAATTTTTTTACTACCGGTTCTGTGGGCGTGGCTTGGTAGGCATGGCTTGGTAGGGTCAGGTAACTATGTAGTCATGTAACTAGAGGATCAAAAGACAGAAACTCATTTTAACAATATCCTGCTGGAGCAGGATTGGACTAGATGACCTCCAGGTCCCTTCCAGTCCTGGATTATCCTATGAAGATGCGTTTAGTGCTAGGTTTGTAGTCCTTCCTTCCTCTCCTTTTCCCCTCCCTCCCTCCCTTTCTTTTTCTTTCTTTCTTTGTCTCTATCTCTCTGTCTCTCTCTGTCTCTGTCTCTCTCTCCCTCCCCCCACTTCCTTCCTTCCTTCCTTCCTTCCTTCCTTCCTTTCTTTCTTTCTTTCTCAGCATCTGCCACCCTCCCATTTTTGGCCTAACAGGCCTTAGAAAAGCCTGCTGAGAGCAAAAACGGACCCCACCCCGTTTTTGGCCGTGTGATATGCGATTGTCTGAACTTTTTTGAAAAAACTTTTTTAGTATTTTTTACACCAGTTCACCCAAACCAGTCCAAACCAGTAGCATTTCATCCCTGCACCCACCCCATCTGAGATGCCCTCCCCCCCATCTGAGCTCACTCACTGTGTGGCTGTTTCAGTGAGTAGGAGTGTCTCAAGGTCCTTTTGGTCCAAAGCAGAGCTGAATTTCTTCCCGGTGCTTTTTCCCAGGGAAGTCTTCAATTTCTTCACCAGCTTCCTGGGGGTGTTGGTAAGGGTCAAGGGGTCTTCCCCGCAGCAGCAACTGTACACCTCTACCTTCAGCTGGAAGTCTGGACCAGCTCCCTCGCTAGACAGAACAGGGGGCAGGTTTCAGAAGGATGATCCTAATTTCTTTAAAAAAGCTACTACTTCTGTTTTTGTTGTTGTTTTTTACCTTGGCTGCTCGTCAGCCAATTGGAAATGCTCCCAGCAAAAATTGAAGCAGCCCCATAAAATCCACACATAAAATATTAAAGGCACAGAGCAGCATGTGTAGAAATCAGGAGACTCAAGCAAAGTGACAGTCCCTAAATCTGTTAGAAAGTTATCAGTGTATTGAGAGTTCATGACCGGATGAGACAGGGTAACAAGGTCAGCCAATGAAGAGGCATGGCAACTGGGTCAGCCAATGAGGGCTGTTTGGAAACTGAAACAATATTTGCTGTGAGCAACAAGGAGCCAGCAAGGAGCCTGGGCGTGGCTTAGCTTAATTTCTGTACAAAAGCTAGACTAGTCTGCGGCTCTGAACTGAAACTGTTCTCTCTTCTGCCTGTGTTTCTACCTACTTATAACTCTTCTCTCTAAGATAAAGGTTTCCCTCGCACACATGTGCTAGTCGTTCCCAACTCTAGGGGGTGGTGCTCAACTCTGTTTCAAAGCCAAACAGCCAACGCTGCCTGAAGACATCTCCGTGGTCATGTGGCCGGCGTGACTAAATGCCAAAGGCGCACAGAATGCTGTTACCTTCCCACCAAAGGTGGTTCTTATTTTTCTACTTGCATTTTTATGTGCTTTTGAACTGCTAGGTTGGCAGAAGCTGGGACAAGTAATGGGAGCTCACTCTGTTACGTGGCGCTAGGGATTCGAACCGAACTGCCGACCTTTCTGGTCAATAAGCTCAGCGTCTTAGCCACTGCATCCCTATCTCTTCTCTCTACCACGTTGGAAAACCTGCTTTTGGTATTGTATATTTACTTTGTGTGTGATATTATATATAAAGGGAAGTTAATGAATCCTGCTGAATCAGTTCCCTGTGTGTGCTTTCTGGATGTGATTGCTGCTGCAAACTCTGACAAAAGTGACTGAGAAAAGCTCTCTTTTCTCCCTGAAAAACCACCCCCTGTGCACATTGCTGCAGTCCAGTTTTGGTTTTTGAAGGCTAAAGACCCGTTGGTGGATTCCTCAGCCACCAGGAATGGACCAGTCACTCTATTCCCAGGGGCATTCACAGCTACTGCAGTTTTCAGGTTCAGGCGGAGATGGCCTCACACGGAGCTTACATATTCAAAAATTTTAAAGCAGTGGAATTCATTCAAGATTTTGGGTGCCCTTACTGGTACAGGAATACTCACAATATCGTTGTATTTTCTAAACAGATGTCCGTGTCTGCCTTATCCACAATGAGCAGGTCTGAATCATACACCTGAGCTCCCATTTTGAATAAGCAAAAAACCGAGTAACGTTCAGTTCCTGCAAGGGGGGAAAAAGGCAGAACACTACAAAATAATGTGTTGTGTCACACACTGTACAGCAGCATAGCTGGCTGGGGAATTCTGGGAGTTGGAGTCCACAAGTCTTAAAGTTGCCAAGTTTGAAGACTTCTACTGTACAGTATGTAACTACTTATTTATGGGATTTACTGACTGCTTCAATCCAGGGTGGATTTTATTTAAATCAAGTCGATTTAAATCACGATTTAAATTACTAGTAAAAAGGCTTGATTTAAATAACTCGATTTAAACTGTCATCTCTGTCCCGCAGTGGCTCCTCCTCTGACCCGCTGTTGACTAACCGACAGTCCCAAAATTGCAGAATATACAGCCTCATGCTATAGAACTAAGTTCCATTTCATGCTGAATAAACTAAATTATTAATGCATCTTAAATAGACAACTATCTTTAAATAGATTTCTACTGCAAAAGCATTTTTTAAAAATAAATTTGATTTTAAAAACATCTGATTTAAATTTCAAAAATCCAATTTAATTTTTTTTTTAAAAAAGCACCATCGGTTTTTATCCACCCTGCTTCAATCTTAGGGAAGTCACACATTGTACAGGGAATGAAGTGAAGTAATAAAATAAAACTGTGCAAAGAAGAAACCATGGAACCAGTAGCTGGTTCGATGTCCTTAATGTTTATACAACTTAGCAAATCTCTCAACTTTACAAATGAACTTTAAATAGCTCAGAAATTCATTGGGGGTTCTGACCATACATTATGTCTGGAAGTTCAAACTCTTGAAATCAACTTTGTCACAAGCGATGAATTAAAACACAGAGAGAGAAACTGCACCAACATTATGAATGCAGAATGGGGAATTGGGAGTATTTGGCTGTGTGAGCATCTCTGAACTTACAGAAACACAAAGTTAAGCCCCACAGTGGCGCAGTGGTTAGAGTGCAGTACTGCAGGCTACTTCTGCTGACTATTGGCTGACTGCAATTTGACAGTTCAAATCTCAACAGACTCAAGGTTGACACAGCTTTCCATCCTTCCCAAGATCATAAAATGAGGGCCCAGATTGTTGGGGGCAAGATGCTGACTCTGTAAGCCGCTTAGAGAGGGCTGTGAAGTGGTATAGAAGTCTAAGTGCTGTTGTTTTTGCTATAAATCCATCCGTGGGGAGGGGAAGGTTGCAAAAACAGACGAGGGCTAATCTCAGAGGCCTAGCCAGCATCTCTTCCAGCTAGTGCACTAACAGCAGACAAACTTTACCTGCCAAGTATATTTTCTGTCTCTGAGAGTTCAGCCAAACAAATGGAAGGACTCACTTCTGTCACTGCACGCTTTTCTGAAGAGCACATGTTCAAAAGCCAAAGGTTCTCATCAGCCGATTTCAGACAGCTACAATTCACAAGCTCAGCTATAAACTGACACTTAAAGACCTCGACTGTGAGAATAAATGCTGGATGATGCTTTGCATTGAATCAGCACTGATGAAAAGTCTCAGCTTGGCTAAAGAGGTTGCATTACCGCCCAAAAATAAGCATACGTACTGTCTTTGCTGTTGAAATGATCGGAGTTTTTCCACATCAACGGAATTCGTAGATCTAAAACAAAGAGAGAAAAAATAAGTCCCTTGCACTCCTAACACAATCCAAAAATTCAGAATAGATTCTATTTTCTACTTTTTCTAGAAATGTTCTCTCTCGACATTCAGTATTAATTCAGTGTTAATAATGCTGGCTGGGGAATTCTGGGAGTTGCAATCCACAAATCTTGGCACAAATTGCCAAGTTTGGAGATCTATGGCTTACTGCCATGAGCTGTGGTGGCGCAGTGGTTAGAATGCAGTATTGCAGGTTACTTCTGCTGCCTGCTGCCTGCCTGCAATTTGGCAGTTCAAATCTCACCGACTCCAGGTTGACTGGAGTCCTTACCATCCTTCTGAAGTCAGTAAAATGAGGACCCAGATTACTGGGGACAAGATGCTGACTCTATAAACCGCTTAGAAAGGGCTGAAAAGTGGTATATAAGTAAGTGATATTGCTATGAGGTTAGGTGCAAGTAGCATTTGGAAATCAAGTCTTCTGTTTTTGTTTTTCAGCTCACTGACATTATACCAAAGTGATTCCCTCTCTACACTTAGACTGGAAGCAAATTTTTGCTTCCTTTCTACTCAAATTGGCACTGAAAATGTAAAACTATACTTTTTACAGGAGAATCGCAGAATTTGCATAGGTGCAAAAACCTTTTAAATGTTAATGGAGGAATTTACCTTCCAAGCCAAGTCTCATCAGAGCCAAGGAGATGAAACTGGAGCTGGCATTTAAGTGGGAAGAGGCATCAGTGTGAGCTACCAGCCAGATCAGCATAGTTTACAGCTACAGTCCTTGAGTTATGAATGGAATGGAGCATGCCCATTTCATGCATAACCCGAGGATTCATGGGAATGAATCAAGTGCGCATGAGGTATTTTGGGGTGGGGAAGACCTACTTCAGACCACCCAAGGCCTCCCCTGACCCACAGACACCTTATTTCCGTCTCTTGGGATCCCCACAATTGCTTCCTCCCCCATCCTTCTGCATGTGGTGGCTTATTTTGTGAAGATCTGTCTCCTCTCTGGGCTGTATCTTTGCTTGCTTCCTCCTTTCTCATCTGCAAGCAGCTTGAAGAAGTTCTTCAGTGATGAAAAGGAGGCACAGAAGCCTGCGTGCGGCCCTCCAGCCTCCCTTTCCCACCTCCATAGCCCTTTTCAAGCCGTTTGGTGGTGAAAAATGCAGACCAGAAGTGAGCGCTTGAAAAGGGCTCCGGAGGCGACAAAAGAGGCCTAGAGACCTGCACACAGTCTTCCATACCTCCTTCTCATCGCTGAAGCCTTCTTCAAGCCATTCACGCACATTTCCGGTCTGCATTTTTTGCTGCCGAACCGCTTGATAGGGGGGATAGGGGCGGGTGAATGTTGCAGAGCCTCTCCAGTCGTTCGTAAGAGCAAACTGCTGTGGTGCTGCAACATTTATAATTTTGGGGCCCATTCATAAATGCTAAGGGGCGCTTATCACGTAACCTCCAACATTCACTAAGGGAATGCTCGTAACCCAGGGATTACCTGTATGGTGTTCTCCAGTTGCAGACAACAGAAAACAAATGTACCTGAAATGCCAACCTTCCCTCTACAGGCTGCACGATCTTTAGCTGCAACATCTGAACCTCTAACAAAAGAAATAAAAAACACTAATTAGAAAGAAAAAAAGTTCATCATTTCCCCTTCTCTTTCAAGGTAACCCCATTAGTAATCAAATAAATGGATACCACTAATAATTTAAAGNATCCATCTATCCATCTTTCCATCCATAATCTATCAATTAAATTAAATCAATTGATACAGCCACTAATCTCACTAATGTGATTCTGGCCAGTTAACAAAGATTTAAAAATGCAATGTAATTACAATATAAAGATATATGTCATATATGCATAAAACACATACATGATGAACTACGATGAACACACTGCCATTTGTGCAGTCAACAGAGGAAGGGGTCTTTTGTATGTTGAGCAAGACCAATAACACCTCTTGCTCAAGTCCTCTCATCCAGGATCATCTTTTAAGTTGAAAAGTTAAACCCTGAAGTTGGAATCTTCTTCCCATAGGCTTTTTCCTCATGGGCTTCTCATTCACTTGTTCAGTCTTCAGCACCACTGACCACGCATGTCTTAAATGGAATCCCCAAAAAGCAAGGCAGCAAACGAAAAAGTTCTTACCCAGCAATGTTCTGAATGGAAACACTCTTTGAAAGGGACAGGTTCTGCTGGGATCGCCTACTATTGAACACTGAAGTCGTTATGTTCTCATCAAGAGCAAGAATCGCTGATCTGGGTCGCTCTTTTGGCTGAGAACCTGCAAGGAAAACACCAGCAGATACAGCAAGAGGTTTAGTGAGGGATCAGGTCCAATTCAGTATACTGAATATAACCATCAAATCTGACGCCAGCCAGAACATAGCACAACTCAAAGAAGTAGTGCAAGATGGGAAGATGGGAAGAAACCCGGCCTATAGAATCACCAAAAGTCGGACATGACTGAATGGATAACATCTTTATCATCCTCCTCAGTTGTGGAATTTGTTTACAACGTCAGGATTTGTTTTTTAAACAAGCATGTTCTTTTCCCCAGTTGTTTTGTAATATCTGAATTTAACAGGGCATGATTATAAAAGATGAGCTGGATACCCAACCAAATTGCAAGCTTGCATCAAGGAGAGGGGGGAAAAGAGATACTCACTCTTATTTCTCATAATTACTGTGGGCAATGAAGAAGTATCGTGAGGCTGAAGACCACTTGGGTTTTTCTGGAGCTGAAGTAGAAAAGATTAGAAGAAAACATAGTTATAATATCAATTCCACTCACACATCATGCTAAGTATAAGCTAAGGTTTCAGAGTGGTGGGTTTATGTAAAAAAATTAAGACATCAACCATGGTTTATGAATCACAATGACTGGTTCATGCTACAGACACCAAGGTAAAGCCTATCAGACTCATGTATGAGAATTCAAAACGTGTGCATTGAGTTTTTTTAAAATCTCACTCCCACTTAGAAGAAAAATCCTTTGAAATATTAGAGGGTGTCAAATAACTTGAGTGTTGTGGCCAGCAAAGCTGGCAGCACATTCGGACAGTGAGGAGGTTGGGGAGGAGCATGGGCCAGTCCTGGAGTCTGGGGAAGGCTCGGATGAGGGCTCTGCGTCGGAGGCAGAGAGAGGGCCAGGACCATATGCCAGTTATCAGCTGCCTTCAGAGTCGGACATCAGTGAGGCAGACAAACAGCTGGAGCCTGTTCCCAGTGTGCACATGTACAGAATTGCCAGATGAAGGGAACAGCTAAAGAACAGTGTTTGACTTGGGTGGAAGGCCACAGGTGGCTGATGAATGGCCCCTCCCAGAGGAAATAAAAGAGGAGCAAAAGGGGAGTGGAGTTTGCAGGAGACAATTAGTTCCCTTAATTGGTTCTCTCCAAGGCTCCTTGCCAAGTTTTTCAGATATCGGCCTGGCAGCTCTCCAAGCCAGATAAGGTCTGTGACTATAAATCCTCCCTTGAAAGACTATGCTGGATGTGAATGAGCACAATTCACAGTAAATTAATAACATAGGTTTTTGTCAGGACAATGAATTTGCTTCATGCTCTTGGGAAGCCTAGGTCACAACACTGAAGCCTTCACACAATTATACAATTGCCACACAGATGGGAAATTGTTTTAAGTGACCTTAAATTGAAAACTTTACTTGCATTTTTGAAAAATAAATAAATAACATTTCTGCTATCTAAAAGTTTCTAGCCTTCAAAATACTAGAAATTTCTGGAGGGTCTTAAATGCATCTCCTAAATGGTCTAAAAAAAACCCCTACAGTTCTTCAAGAATGTTTTCTTCTCCAGATACAACATCAGATCTGCCTATAGTAGCATTTACATAGACGGGCCTCAGCAAATTAGGCTTACGACAGATTTATTGCAAATAAATCATCGTAGCAAAGAGGAAGAATTCAAGTTGGACAGTTCCGGTAAGTGATTGCAAGAGCCAAGGTGGCGCAGTGGTTAAATGCAGCACTGCAGGCTACTGCTAGATCAGCAGGTCAGCGGTTCAAATCTCACCGGCTCAGGGTTGACTCAGCCTTCCATCCTTCCGAGGTGGGTAAAATGAGGACCCAGATTGTTGGGGGCAATATGCTGACTCTCTGTAAACCGCTTAGAGAGGCCTGAAAGGCCTATGAAGCGGTATATAAGTCTACTGCTATTGCTATTGCAACAGAAGGAGCTGGTGAAGAGCCCACAGGCACCAAATGAAATAAATGAAAATAAATTTACATCTCTTCCTTCTCCTGGTTGTGCCATAATCACAATGAACCACACAGAAGTTATGAAGAGGATTTGAAAAGAATGATATCACAAATAAAATAGCAATAATCAGATGATTATTGCATCTCGAGATGGAATAAGATACAGGATTCCTGGCACTAACCTTGATCTACTGGAAGTCCTAGCCACAGTGAAACAGTAGTTTGCTTGCATTTTTTTTCCCTGCAACCAAGAAGGCTAGAAATTTATTTTAAAGAAAACAACAACAAACTGAAGATATTTCAGAGCCCTAATGAGCCTGCATATATGAAAATTGGAGGGTATTTTTTTCTTTCCCAAGTTACAATCGTACATTTTCAAATATACCGGTACACACATATCCATGCATGTGGATATATTGAAGAAGAAGAGAAAAAAAAAACACCCAGAAGAATACTTACTTTCATTTTGACCTTAGCACAAGCAGCCACACTTTCTTTGCAGCTTTTATGGACAATGGCACCACAATCTGGGGAAAACAAAGAGCACAATTTTTAATGTGTAGCCAACGAGAAGGTTAGATGTCATAGAGGGTTCATATTCCTGAAGACAGATACTTTTTCCTGGACTTTCTTTGAGCTCACTTAAATTTTTCTACATATTTTCATATGTGCTAGTCGTTCCTGACTCTAGGGGGCAGTGCTCATCTCCATTTCGAAGCCAAAAAACCAGCACTGTCTGAAGATGTCTCTATGGTCATGTGGCCAGCATGACTAAATGCTGAAGGCTCACAGAACACTGTTACCTTCCCATCAAAGGTGGATCCTGTTTTTCTACTTGCATTTTTACATGCTTTCAAACTGCTAGGTTGGTAGAAGGTAGGACAAGTAATGGGAGCTCACTCCATTATGCGGCACTAGGGATTCGAACCGTCGGACTGCTGATTTTTCTGATCGACAAGCTCAGCATCTTAGCCACTGAGCCACCCCAAATAATGATAAACACAGATACTTTTTCCTAGACTTTATTGGAGTTTGCTTAAATTTTTCTTTACCATCTTTAAAACTTAAAAAAAAACAAAAACCACACCACAACTTGAGTTATTAGCTAAGTCCTGTAAATTCTTGATCAGATTTCCACCAAGAATTTCTTTGGAACAAGCAGTGGTCAGCTCTTGCAGCCAGAATAAAAAAAGAGATTGCTGAAAAGCATATCTAAAAGTCATAAAAGTGAGCAACCTTTTCTCTTCTCCCAGCATTTGGAAATATGCGTTTGAAAATATCCATAGTTGGGGGTCATTTTAATCTCCTAAAGGAAGCTGTTCAACAAAGCAGGGGCCACCGTGGAAAAGGACTACTTTCTAGTCCTCACCAGCCAATACTCTTGGCTGATGGGATTTGTAGTGTACCCATTCTAATCCTAGCCATCCTCTTCAACTGCATTTGCAAGCTTAGCACCAATTAATCAACAAGCATCTCAAGCACCATTTCAACTTGTAAGACTGCAATACTGTCCCAATGCCTTCAAGGGGTTACTCCTATCAAAAGGAAGGCAAATTGCTGGACTCTTTCTACAGTTGTGTGGTTGGGCAATAGAAAACCTTTAACGCTCACTCTTATTTTCGCCTTAGTCAACACTAGTCAACTGGCAACTTCAGGTTCCCAAAGCAGGAATTTGTCCTTGAAGGTAACATGATTCGGTTTCAGTTTTCTAAACCTGAAGTGGCACATATGGAGGGGAAATTCTTCATTGAGTCATTACCAATTATCCAGAAACACAACTCACATATAGACGCATAGCGCTGCTTAAACAGAATATATAGAGAGATTCTGTTTCAGAATTCAACTGATAAGTTCTGTTAACAACCAGGAAAGGTCAGGATTCTTTAACAGAATTGTGCAAGGAACTTCCTCCATCCTTTTTGCATACACTGATGGCCAGAAATCAACCAGATAAATGTTGTTACTGGCATTAACAACAATAGTAGTAATGTCAGGTGTATTTTACTAGAACTTGAATGGAATATGAAAACATTTTGGGCACATTTTTCTCTTTCAGGTAGTTTAGTATTTCTTTTTAACACCGTCTGATCATACAAATGTATCCATTAAAGGATTAAAAGATTAAATTTCCAAATGAAAGCAAAAGCACTAAAAATGAAGACGTTTCAGAAATTAAATTAACTAACCCGCTCAGTCAAACTGCGGTAAGAAAACCAAGAGGAGGATGTTAATGTAAACTTTGGATGAAAACTGTCAGAAGCTAAATTTAATGTGACATTCATTAACCAAATGAAAGGATCACACAGCAGGGCCCAGAAGCCTTCTGGGAAAATTAAGATGACAGCATCTACTTTGGTATTGATTGCTGGTGTCTCCCTGAATTGGACCCTGCAGTTATATAACAAGCATTTAGAAATGTATCTACCCTCTTTCCCTGAAAATAAGATATGGTCTTATTTTCTTTTGACCCCCAAAATAAGCACTTGGCCTTATTTTTGGGGAGGTCTTATTATTTTTGAGGTGCAAGGTGCAGGAGGCAACGAGCATGTTCACCTCATGGCTGCTGCTGTGTTGCAATATTTTCAGGGAGGGCTTATTTTCAAGGGAGGGCTTATTTTAGCACATGCACTCAAAAGCCCGACGGGGCTTATTATCTGGGAATGTCTTATTTTGGGGAGAACAGGGTAAGTTTGCAAAGGAGGAGGCTGAGGTCTTCAGTGGTGGTCCTTGTTACAGCAGAGACTTTAATCCAATGATTCCAAATCCTAGGTTTATGTAAAACCCCACTTAATTAGGATCAGATAGTATAGTAAAATCATTTACTATAGTACTAAGCTAAAACAATTCAGATTCTCACTAAATGACCTTGGAACAACTATCATCTTTTGACCTAATGGTAATTTCAGTGATGGTAATTTCATGCACATAATTATTTTCAGAAACATATTCTACTACCTATTCATTCCAGTGCGCAAAGCAGGAGGGAAAAGAAATGTCACTCACTTGCACAGACGAATGAATCTTTGTTGAAGGGCTTGAGACAGTGGTAACAACTGATGGGACCCACGGTTGAGATGGCACTGAAGAGATGGCCATTTAGTATCTTGTTATCTTTGTCTTTTTCCTTGGTGTCTTTATCCCGTTCCTTCAGTTTCTCTTTATCTTTATCTTTCTCCTAAAAAATAAAAAAGTGTACAGAGGACATTCATAACATAAAATGCTCTCTTTGTGTGTATGCAAAAATGACACACACAGGAAGAATATATTCAGGGACAACATCATCAAGAAATGAGTTCCATATGCCAAAGATGCAAGCAGTTGTCCTTCAACTTAATGTCCACCAAGTCAACTGTGAGTCATTGGCTGCAGACACCTAGGGGCAATGCTGACATTGCTTTCAATAAGTCCTCCTCACCTAGACCATCAATATGTAGGAGCATAATAAATGATCTTATCCTGAGTCAGAACTGTAGCTGGGAATTATATGGCAGAAGACATCCAGGGTTTCAAACAGAAACAACCTGCGAGTTCAAACCATGAGAGTTCTATCACCAGATTTTATGAACTTCTAGAAGAGATGGTTCTACTTTAGTGTGAAAACTGAGCTGCAAATGTAAAACGTTGAGGTTAGTGCCAGGAAGAAGAAAGGCTACCTTGACTTTCCTCCTACATACCCTTAAAACTATAGCATCCAAGACAAGGTAAAGGTAAAGGTTCCCCTCGCACATACGTGCTAGTCGTTCCCAACTCTAGGGGATGGTGCTCATCTCCGTTTCAAAGCCGAAGAGCCAGTGCTGTCCGAAGACGTCTCCGTGGTCATGTGGCCAGCATGACTAAATGCCGAAGGCACACGGAATGCTGTTACCTTCCCATCAAAGTTGGTCCCTATTTTTTCTACTTGCATGCTTTCGAACTGCTAGGTTGGCAGAAGCTGGGGCAAATAATGGGAGCTCACTCCGTTATGCAGCGCTAGGGATTCAAACCGCTGAACTGCCAACCTTTCTAATCAACAAGCTCAGCGTCTTAGCCCCTGAGCCACTGCCTCAAGACAAGGTAGCTCCCTCAGTTCTTCAAAATTACTCTTTCAATCAAGAAAATTTTTAAAAAACTAACGTTAAAACCAATGTACCACAAAGAAAGTTTTCCATAAAGAGTGAAGGGTATGTGATAATATTATCCACAGAGAGAGGAAGGTGGAATTTCAAGAAAAACATCAGCTTAATTGGAATGAGTGAGAATGCAGTTTGGAGACAACTGTATATCGGTAGCGTTGATTTCATTGTTGTAAACTTGGATTTTTCCTCCCCAATAAAAGCAAAAAAAAAGAAAAATGTTTCATGAACCTCCCTAAACTTGCCAGGTGAAGGAGGAATCCTGGTTATTGTTGCTGGTAAAGTGATTCAAAATAAGTAGCTCATGGCCACTATGAATTATACAACACCCCCTTACAAATAATATTTATGATAGGAGCATATACGTAAGCATATTAAATTGAAGGGGGGGAGTATTTCAGGCCAAGCTTCTCCTCAAAGAAGCTTTCATGTCCAGATGAGGTTGGGATTGCAACTTTTAAAACCCCCCCTTATAGATCAGCTACAGATCAGGTTGGCAGGTAAACCCTGGGAATTGCAATCCCCAGACCAGGGATTGGCAACCTTAAACAATCACAGGGCCACAAAGGCTTCCTACCCGGAAGTCCCCTGTTCAATTCTGAAGCCGACTGGAAGTCTGCTTCCCCCACCATAGAGTCTCCTCCAGCACGGCATTCTTTTTACCCTACCAGTCCTAACCAAAAGCCCTATCAATTGTGGAGCGACAGGAAGCCGCGGCAGAGGGATAAAAGAGCTGCAGATTACTGACCTCTGCCCCAGACAATGAAGAGGTTAAGATCAGCCTAAAGATCACTGAGGGAAGGGCATGAATTCTCCCTTCCATCCATTTTAGTCTGTGTTTTCCAAGTCATGATCTGGAAACTCCTAGATTTTCCTCAGGAGATTCAAGATAACACCTGAATATTCCAACTTTGGACCAAATGGAAGGGGTTGAGGACCATCTCCTTATTCTGCTCTCATTATTTTTATGCCCTGGTCAAATTAGCCCTCCAAAAAAGGAACTGGCCTCAGGACCACACTTTGTTTAGGATCCACCTCCTATTTGCATGTGGATTACAAAAATGATCAGTTACCGCAATAGCAATAGCGCTTAGACCAGAGGTAGTCAACCTTTTTATACCTACCGCCCACTTTTGTACCTCTGTTAGTAGTAAAATGTTCTAACCGTCCACGGGTTCCACAGAAATGGTGATTTATAAAGTAGGGAAGTAATTTTACTTTATAAAATTTATAAAGCAGAGTTACAGCAAACCCCTACCGCCCACCATGAAAGCTGGAACCCCCACTAGTGGGCGGTAGGGACCAGGTTGACTACCATTGACTTAGATTTACATACCGCTTCGCGGTGCTTCACGGTCCTCTCTAAGCAGTTTACAGAGTCAGCCTCTTGCCCCCCAGCAATCTGGCTCCTCATTTTACCAACCATTTTACCAGTAGAAGTAGCCTGCACTACTGCACACTAACCACTGCGCCACCGTGCCTCAGTCACCTTCTTCATAAACAACTGCCTGCCCTTCTATAACAAACACCAACACCACTTTCCTATATTTTTGAGGGTGGTGGTGGTAGTGGTCTTTCAAGTCAGTGCTGACGCCCTGAAGTTTACTCGATTTCAGACGTGATTTGTTCTGGCCTGCGTCTTTCTAGGACTGACCTAGGATGACTAAGTCCCCCACAAAAAAAGATGGGCCCAGAACTCGTCTTCTGTATTCTAGCCGTTTGCCTATCAAGGGCGCAATGGCCAAATTGATCCATGATGTATAAAGGCAAATATCTCTTCAATTGTAGTTTTTACACTCTGAGGGTGTTAGCAGAGGCTAATGAAAGCTAAGAGGGTAATATATTTTACGTTCTGGAGATCACAATGTCTGAGGATAGTTGAAGATTAAAAAAAAGATGACAGGTGTAAGTCTGCTCACGAGGAAAGGCTCTGAGCTCCCCAGGTAATACATGCAAATACAAGTAAAATATTATGTAGGATTGCTCTCTGTCTGTCTGTCTCTCCCTCCCTCCCCCGTCTCTCTCTTGGCAGAAGCCCCATCAGAGGCTGAGCACATACCTACAGCTCTGACTGTAGCCCCTCAAGGCAGTCTTATTGGCTTTCCTGGCATGTAGTCAGAATTGGAAAAAAAACAACAACACGGGGTAGTCACCCGTGTTGCAACTGATCGGTCTAAAGCCACAGTGCTTCTTTGACGCGTGCTTAGCAAGAAAGGAACCTCATGAAATTTCATGGGCTTCATTTCAAGTCGACATAGCATGGCATTGGACTGCTTTAACATCCACTCTATGTTTACTCTTGTGCACATTTTTTTCCCCTTCCCTAGCATTCCCGAGTCTCCAAAGCCATAGCCATACTCAGAAGAACAATCCAAGAATACTTGAAAGTTAAAAAATATATATATTTGAAAGACCAACAACCCAAGCAGACAACAAGTGAGGAAAGCTACTTGGTAAGCAGTAAAGCTGAGAATGGCTGGAAATAACTTTAGAGGAACAGGTCTGAATCTGCCACTGTTTCTTAGCTTGTAACCACTGAAATTTGCATCCCTACCAATTATGTGAGAGTCATTCCACAGAAGCTTGGTTGAGTGAAGACCATCTACTCTAGAAATGACCAAGTTGAAGCAATAGCTGACAGAGAATACTCAGTATTAGAGATATTCAAAAGACAATTTATATCTCAAAAATAATCCCTACCAACTATGCAAGAGTCATTCAACATAGGCTTCATTGAGTGAAGACCATCTACTCTAAAAATGACAGAGTGGAAACAGTAACCTGACAGAGAATATTCAGTAATAAGGTAAAGGTTCCCCTCACACATCTCTTGTAGTAATTCCTGACTCTAGGGGGCGGTGCTCATCTCCGTTTCAAAGCAGAAGAGTAAACGCTGTCCAAATACGTCTCCGTGATCATGTGGCCGGCATGACTAAACGCCGAAGGAGCATGGAGCGCTGTTATTTTCCCACCAAAGGTGGTTCCTATTTTTTCTACTTGAATTTTTACATGCTTTCGAACTGCTAGGTTGGCAGAAGCTGGGGCAAGTAACAGGAGCTCACTCCGTTATGTGGCACTAGGGATTCGAACCGCCGAACTGCCAACCTTTCTGATCAACAAGCTCAGCGTCTTACTGTGTCGCTTCTTCCATCTTCTAAGGTTAGCTATATTTGGGAGGTTGGAGGTTGAGAGACTGGATGGGAAAAAGTCTAAAAAGCTGCCCATTATTATTCTGTTCCCAAGAGACGGTTCACATGAAGCATGGCATCAGTTTGAGCACTCCAGGGCTGCAGATTGGGCCTGCGGTTAGAGCAATTCATGGCTGCAGACGGATCTTCTGTGATTAGAGCAGTCCAGGACTGCGGATTGTGTTACTCTGCTTGTTAGTATAATTAACAGAGATATTCAAAAAACGAATAATTTATATTTCAAAAATAGCACTTGATTCTCCCTCGTACAAGCCATCTTGGATACTATGGGGAATAGAAATCTTTGAGACTTTGAGAAACATTCACCTCAAAGTTATCCTCCTGTATTAAGGATCTTGAGCCTAGTTCTCCTTGTGGAAATGCCCACAGACAGACCACTAACATGTGGTAAGTACATGACCAAATGTTGCCTCCCATACAATGAAATTCAGTCCAGTAAAATCAACATAAAGTTGAAAACAGCTAAATGCTCATGTTTTTATGGCCATTAGCAGTTTTTGACAAATGTGCGTTGGGTTCTAAAACTCATACAGCTTAGAGCAACATGTTTCATCTAAGTGAGGATTTATGCACACATGAGAAAACCTTCAGTGCCCCAATAGTTTCGCAATTAATATATGCAGCTCGGTGAGTAAAACACAAAATAGAACGTCTTTTTTTTTTTAAAGAAGAAACCAGAAAACGTCAGCCATGAATTTAATTGCTTCATATCCAGTTCTAAGTCACTGACCAGCTGACGAAGCTACAACTGGCAGGATTGACACATGTTACATCCTGAACTACGGAGGATATCACAGGTTCATACAATGTCTTAAATTTAAGCCTTACAATTTAGTATCTGCATACCTAATGTAGAAATGGAGTTTGGAATCTTTGGTCCCTATCAAGCTCCCTGTTTTCCCTACTATGATTTCTTTCTTTCTAATATTATTTCTTCAATTTCTTTCTTTCATTTTTATTTAAAACAGTCACAAAACAAGACAAAGCCCTAGTCTTAAACATGGCGCTTAGCAATAGCACTTAGACTTATAGGCTGTTTCCCAGAGCTTTACAGCCCTCTCGAAGCGGTTTACGGAGTCAGCCTATTGCCCCCAACAATTTGGGTCCTCATTTTACCCACCTCGGAAGGATGGAGGGCTGAGTGAGTCAACCTTGAGCCGGTCAGGATCGAACTCCTGGCAGTCAGCAGAGTTAGCCTGCAGTACTGCGTTCTAACCACTGCACCATCATGGCTCTTACAGCATGGCCTGTAATTTCCAACTCTGGGGCACCCCCTCCCCCCATCATCCTCTTTTAATGACCCCATAATCCCTTGCGGGGTTGAGTCTGGCCAACTGAATGGAGCTGAGTTTTTACTGGCCGGATGCCTTTCCTGTCGCCAGTGTGGAGTTTTGCTCTGCAGATGTATTCTCAGTGTGCCCAGAGAGAGAAACATCTGCCTCTACCTAGGATTGAACTCACACCCTCCTGAATGTGAGGCAAGAGCTCTTATCTCTAGGCCACGACACCACTCAACTCTGGGACCCTCAATGATTCTATCATGCTCAGACATCTTAGAAAAACACAACAATAAGTAACCACAATATAGGAAGCTGAGAAAGTCCAGGAAAAAAACAAACTTAAAAAATGAATAGGCCAATCGTTCCGTAAGACATCTATTTCCACTCAACGGAAGACCCTGAATTTAGTTATCATGGGTCAAGATGGAAGCCATGTGAATATCAGGGAGAAACTGTTCCAGAGAGCAAGCAGAGAAGACCCAGATGCCATCGGGTAATAAATAATTTAAAGGATGCAACTTGTAAAGTCAACATGAAAATAAAATGATGGACATCAGACACCACATTTGCCATCTTAAGGTAATTTGTGATTGCTCCCTTTATGACAACCATAACATATTCTCAACATCCCAGACACAAATCAAAGTCTGTGATTTCGATATCTAAAAACTGTGTGTGGTATATCAACATCCCCAGGTGCTGAGATGATCTTCAGAGACATTTCTTCAGGTTATATCCTCCAGTTCTTCCTTCTCTCCTTTTCGTTTCTTTCAATTCTTAAATTTAAGTGGTCCTGTTCCCGCATCCTTTTGGACATCCTTTTTCCAGAAAGTGTCATAAAAATATTTTTACCCACACAACTCCCCTGAAGTAAGCATTTTTTTGCATGTCCCTTTATCCCAGAAATGTCCCATCATAAATAGCTTTCCCTGAACATAGTGTATTTTTCTACCTCGGGTTCACTAGTGAGCATATTTTAATGTGGAATTTTTCTTTATGAGGGAGGCATTTCTTCAGTTGAACAAATGAATGTTTTGGAGTGGGGTGCCTTAGCAAAATGGTATACTCACACTGAGAAATGCATAAGGTCTTAAGACTCCATTCATATGGAGAACTTACTCCATTTTTCTCTCAACTCCTAAGGTGATGCATGAATTTCCTAACTGCAAGACCAATCAACCAATGGAAGAGCTTAACTTCAGAAGTTGTGGATGCTCCATCAGTGGAGGCTTTCAAAAAGAGACTGGACAACCATTTATCTGAAATGATACAAATAGGGTCTCCTTCTCTAGCAGGAGATTGGACTAGAAGACCTCCAAAGTCCCTTCCAACTCAATTATACTATATTCTATGTTAAAGTCGTCTTCAAAAATGTCCTCCTATTTCTGAAACTCATGCTTGTGATTCATCCTTTTCTCCCTCCCTTTCAAACTTTTACATATGTTAGCCAGTTTTAACAGAAAGTTCTGGGGCCTGAGAATGTCCCATCTCCTGGTTGTGTTTACAGCCATTGACAGTGACAACTTTCCCAGCTGCTGTGTATTTTAATTTTTGTTTTGATGGAAATCTGTTTTTAATTTACTTTAAGATTACTTGCAACCCAGAGTCACTGGCTGAGATGGGCAGTCACACAAACTAAATACAGTTAGAAAGACATGGACAAAGCAGGAAAAACATGTTAGATTGAGTTAGAATTTTCTTTTGCTTTACTTCAAATACCTGCATTAGACTAGGATGCTAGTGTTTCTCTGTTTTGACAAGTCTTTTTATATGCTCTTTTGTTATTTTTACTGTTTTCAAAATGCTAACTTTCTTTGTCAACCACTTAAAGATCTATGATAATCAGGTGGCTTAAAAAATCTAATAAGTAATAAGGATAATCAGTGCAGTCTGCCTAACAGGAGATCTATCAGTATAAGAAGGAGATTACTGTGCTCTGAGAACAAAGCTGTGTGAATGCAAAGCATATTAAATCTATCGCTTCCTTTTGATGTCTGCATGCATACAAATATTTGACTGCTTCATTTGACTCTTAAACCCTCTCACTCAACAAAACACAGTCATTCAACAACTTATTTCTAGTTCTCTAGCGGTCCTTCTGCCCAGTAACAGGAATTTACTACTGACATTTTGAAGAAAATGTTCCTGTTTTGAAGAAAAACATTGTCTTAATTGTTTTGATTTGATTAGTTTGATTAGGAAGGCAGAGAGCTACCACAAGCAGATTTGAGTCAGAAAACAGGAAATGGTGTTTCACGGGTGCAAAAAAGTATAAACAACTATAAAGGCTGGAAAAAAACCCACAGTGCCCTATAATTTGGAGTTTAACGAACCACAATTTGTTATATGTGAGAGATATATAGAAATGAATCTTCTCCAAACTGAGAAGTAGAGCAGCATATTGCCAAATTGGAATGAAAAACAAGGATGGGAGAAAATCCAGTCTAGAACTCTCGCCAACATCTTAGCACCAACTGATGCAATCCAGACGAATCAACCAGGCCTTTCCTTACCGCCAATGGGGCTGCCACCACTAATCCTCACTACCCAAGCCAAGATAGAAGTTTACCTCCGAGTGGAAAAGTCCAATCAGTTTCACGGTTATATGGGGCATGTCCGAAAACCGATGCCACTTGTGGGACATGCTGCCCAATGTCGGTGCCAGGCAATCTGCCCAATACCTATCCATCCATCACGTTAGAGATAAAAGAAACCCCAAGCACCGATCCTGTTCAGCTGCTCAGCCTGCTGTCATAAAAGGAAGTCAGAAACAAGTTGAGCAAGAGAGAAGGCTAAAGGGGAGGAGAGAAGGAAGAGCTGCTTCTTCTGAGCTTCCTCAAAGAACAGATTAACCCTTCAGGCACAGATGTCAGAGCTTGAGATATTCAAGGGATCCAAAAGACTTGAGGGGACACTTGGGAAGCAATGCATGGAGGTGCTGCAGATTTCCCCCCCCCCCTTTTCTCATATCTTTGCTAATGGGCAAATTTCAAGAATTGCATGCTAAAGCAGAAGAGGGGGACGATGGTTGATGCTTGTCTTCCTGGAGAGAGAGAGAGAGAGAGAGATTCATTTACACGACTTAAACATCTGTGTTTTTCAGGCGGCAGAAGTACGAGCAGGGTGGTAAACTTCCTGTTTTGCTTCCTCTTTCAAGATTTTTTTTTCCTATCTATTTTAAACAAAATCAGAAAAAAAGAGAAGACGAGGAAAGTTAAATACCTTCCACAGATCTAAGAAAAATCTGTATGCAACAGTTTAAGGTGGAGGGAAAAATCTCCTTTCCAGGTGAGAAAGGTAAACTTCATCCTAATTCCTAAACAGGAAGAATGGAGAATTTCTGGATTTAGAGCAGAATCCAGAAATAGGGAAGAGAGGAGTGCCAGTCAAAAATAAAAGCTGGTCAATGAAATTCTCCCCCAACCAAGATTGGGAAGAAGGCAGATTTTCTGAAACATGTTTGGGTTTATCACTCCAGTGCTTTTCACTTAGAGATATGTTGGCATTGCAATTTTCAGTCAATCAATCTTTATCACGGTCAATGGACCTTGCCAAAGGGGCACAATCTCAGCCCATACAGTATTTTTTGAGGGTGCTGCTGTCCAAGGGCTAAAGTCATCTCAAGGGCATTGCTGTCCAATGGCTAAAATCATCTCAAGGGCATTGCTGTCCAATGGCTAAGCAATCTACATATCCGGTCACAGCTTAGCTACCCCAGTAACTGCTCATACATAATGTAATCTTATTCATCACTTTATTCATCACTTGTATTGTACGTCCTTAAAATAATTCACTGTACCGGTGTTTTATATTTTGATACACATTTTATATGCTGATTTTGTGAATTACATGCACTAATTGCTGTATTCTGTTATGCCATGTGAAATAAATAAAAGGTATGTAGATATTGTTTATGTCTATATTATACTTTACTGTATATTATATTATGGGGCCCAAGACAATTCCTCTTCACTCAATGCGGGCCATGGAAGCCAAACGGTTCTATACCCATTGTCTACATATTTCTCTTCTTCCTTGAAGTGGTTGAAAAGTCATGCCATCAGAGAAGAAGACTGAAAGGGGACTGTACATCTAAAAGACTGTGTCCTGAAGATTATTTGTTCTGGTTTACTGAATGTTCTCTCCAAAATAAAAATCTACCCAAATCAAGAAAAATGGGAGCTGCATAGGAAAGGATGCTTTGAAATGGAGACAATTGCTGTTCCAGCTAGTTGATCTATCCACAGACAGAGGAACTTCAAAACACTCATAAAATTTAAATGGGTGCCCACAAGCGGTGAGTTTCCCTTGCGCAATTGTCAAGTAGTGTTGTAACCATTCCAAAAGAAAAAGAAAAAAAAGGATGATACGTCAAAACAGATTTCTTCAAAACTGGTGTTCGACAATGACATGTAAGTCCATCAAGTAAAGGAACCACCTGACGTTATTCTGGATTTGAGGGACTGAACTTTTACTGGGAGCTGCCCAGGGTTTGTTGGAAGGATGGGTAGTTATATAAATACCTTAAATAAATAAAAATATAAACAAATAAAATAAATTTTCCCATTAAGAATTTGTCCTCCTTTTTAGGGGTGAGAGATGAAGAGTAGCTCCAGTGGGAAAGTCAGAAGTACTTTTGCATTTTAATTTGATTATCCAAAGGGGTCTTTGGCCGATTTTATTTTTAAATATAAAAGATGGCATCTATAATGATCAATGAAAGATTGCAATAAAATTATGCCACTTTTACAGAAAAAGCATTTTTTTTAAAAAATGTTTTTTTAATAGGAATAGAATAGAATAGAATAATTGGAAGGGACTTTGGAGGTCTTCTAATCCAACCCCCTGTTTAGGCAGGACACCCTTTACCACTTCAAATGGTTATCAAACGTCTTCTTAAAAACTTCCAGTATTGGAGCATTCACAACTTCTGGAGACAAGTTGTTCCACTGATTAATTGTTCTAACTGTCAGGAAATTCCTCCTTAGTTCAAAGTTGCTTCTCTCTTTGACCAGTTTTCTCCCATTGCTTCTTGTCCTACCCTCAGGTGCTTTGGAGAATAGCTTGACTTCCTCTTCTTTGTGGCAGCCGCTGAGATATTGGAACACTGCTATCATGTCTCCCTTAGTCTTTCTTTTCATTAAACTAGACATACCCAGTTCCTGCAACCGTTCTTCATATGTTTTAGCCTCCAGTCCCCTAATCATCTTTGTTGCTCTTCTCTGCACTCTTTCTAAAGTCTCAACATCTTTTATATAAATGAAATAAATACATCTCTGGAACAATATCTATGGATATTGTCAAACATCCAGGCCATGGTTGTCCCAAAGGTGGTTTTCAAAAGGCAACTAGATTTTTGGAGTTCTCT